GTATTGAAGAAAAAACCCAATTTCAATGGGCGTCGTCTCAAGTAAATAGTTTAGCCTCACCTTTGGCAACTTAAGAAAGGCAAACTAATGACGAACGACAACCAAAATATTTTATGATTACACTTTTATATCTAATAAGATGAAAAAGGTTTGGAAGAGTGAAAAAAGGTTTTTTTTAGGAGACGCTTAATGTTGTAACTGATTTCAATAGGACTTAACTTAAGGAAAAATCAATCATCCCCACATCTATAAGACGGTTCAAAACGCTGATAAACCTGAGCCCTACTAAACAACTTAATTGGTCGAAAAATCTCTTGTTTCTGTGTGGGACACTTTACACATGAGCACAACATCTTTTGAGCATCTTGGGCCTGACATCGCAAGTTTTGGTTACGTTCCCATGACCCTATCGCTATACGCAACCGAAAATCTGTAAGACAAGTTTGGAGACTCCCGTTCACATATGCGAATTGTACTCTGATATTGACGGAGTGCAGTGGCTGTAAATGATACACACATCGACTGCAATGGAATGGTTTATTGAAGCCCTCTCGACTGCATCATTCGACACTTCGAAAAGGCGTTTTTCCCAACAACCGTTGTTCGATATTCTCGCAGGCAATAATATCAAGACTTGTCGATTTTGCTACGTTGACACCTCACAAACAAAGAATGATATTCACCTGCTCTGCTATGCATTAAGAGAGAGCATTGCGTGGTTGTGAAAGTTTGTTCCATTTGGCAGACGTTCGCATAAACAGAAGAGCAAATTTCAGCCTTTATAAAGGATATAAAAACTTGACTTTTCCATGCGCTTAGCTTCACCAATAGCATCACCTAATGTTCACGACAAACAATAACTTTTCGATATGTATATAAAAAGAAGTACAAATGCTATAGTGAACACGACCCAATATTAGATCACGCAGACTAGCTTATAGTTATTTATATAATGACTTTTCAAAATAAAGCATTATATGAGGCATTGTAGAAAAAGCTTTCCGACCCAAAACACTTGAATATACCAAATTTTGTCAAAATATCTCCAAATTTGCGAGTTATAGGTTGTCCGACGGACGAACAGACAGGCTTAAATCTATGCAAAAAAAAATGATTCTGGTTGTCCTTTGCGATCGTACATAGGGCATACATCCACACATACTTTGTATATCTTCGTACCAGAGCTGGTGTAGGGGATAGAAATTAGAAGGTCAAGTTTATATAACATATACAAAAAGGGAAAAGAGTAATTTCATATTCATATGAAAAACAAAAGGTCTTAAAATATATAAAGTATTTTTCCCAATTGTATAAAAACGGAAGCATCGCATTCTTTGAAAAACACCGCGGATACCGCGGACCTGTTGCTTAGAATTTGCATACAAAGCTTCCATCCCTTATGTAAATCATCGATATATAAATATGCGAATTTTTATTATTCTACTTTTGCTGATATTCTTTTAAACCCAAAATATTTGTTGATCATCTTAAATGATATCACTATACAGTCCGCCTTTCAAATGTCAATGCGTACGTCTTCTATTTTAAAAGCTTCCTTAATGGATTTTTTTGAAATATTTGGTTGAGGTTTTCTTAATACTCAAGGGGTTAATGCGTGATTTTAAAATTGATTCGATAAAATGTTGCATTTAGTTTGTATGTGTGTATACGTTTTTATAACAATGTATTTTTCAATCCCAATTCCATCAATCGTAACACTTAAGCTAACTTTTTTCAATGAGAATAGTAAGAAAAAAACCGAAAAGATAATAAATACCTTTCCCTTCTCAATCACTTCATGCTATTTAGAAATTAATGTTTGATAGGAAAAATTTTTGATATATAACCGCAGTTGGTTAAACTCAACAAATGTGTTAAATAAATTATAAATTTATTTTTATTTTTATTTTTTTTTTTTTTTTGATTCAATTTCTTTTCTCAAAGAATATTTTTTGAATAACTTTCTCCCTGTCTCTCCCTCTCCCTGTGTCTCTCTTCCTTCGTCTTTCCAAAACATAAATTCTATAAAAAGACACAACCATCTGTTACATATCATTAGATGTATGCTATACAATGAATTTCTATAAAATTTTATCAAATCTGTAAAATTAAAATTCTTTCTTTGTTTCTTTTCTTTTCTTTCCTTTTTGAAGAAATTATGCTTTTGAAGATAAAAGGCAGGTGTAGACTGTCATTCACACACTTACACTTACATAGCAATATTCCTCTTTAGTCATTTTCAGACAATCGACACCGCAGGAGTTTTTCCAAATATTACGCATGTATATAAGTGAATTGTGTTCTGTGTATGTGTCGTCAGTAATTTCCATTTTTTTTTTTGTTTATTTGTCGAGATAAAAGAAAATTTCTGAAAAACACAACAATAACGGTTGATACGTATCCTGTTATTTTTGTACATTTACTTTAATTTCATAAATCACTTGACAATCCAGATTTCTTTACACAAAAAAAAATATATAGGGGAAGTTAGACACGTTTACTTGAAATTTATTTAAAATTTAATTTCTTTTCAAACACAACATAGATTGCAGGACGATTCTCCTTCACATCAGTAGTAGGGAAGAAAAAAAAAAAAACAAAAAGGATAGAAAGGTTTAATTTATTACCAATAGATCGTCTAGAGCCAAAAGACTATGTAATACCAATAAAAAATATATATTTGGAATCTTTAGAGAACTGAAGATGAACTTACTCTTTCTGGTAATCTTTGATACTGTTTGCCTTTCGTCTTTTAAGATAATAACCTCGTCCTCATATAATTATGATTTCTGAACAAATCATAGACTGACTGATTGTTCGAACTTGATCAAAAGCCTTAAAAGAAGCTGGGCTAACGAAACCCGTCAAGATTATCAATAATTGAAACAAATCATAGACGGGCTGGGCTGTTCGAACTTTTTCCTATGATTTCAAAACCAAAAAAAAAAAGTCGCTAAAGCTTTACACAAAGCTAAGACAACACAGATCGAGGAAATGCGGAACAAAGAAAACAAATCATAGACTGGCTGTTTAAGCTTGGCCTATATAGAGTATGCCAAACATGTCCAGTCAATTTGTCACAGAAAATACAAGAACTACACAACAGGGTCGTTTTTTAAAGCAAAGGCCGTTTTGTGACAAACTCTAGCTGTTTCCTTCTTTTTGTTGGGAACAGTTGCGCTCATTATTGGTAGCGAAGATCTGAATAAATCCCGTTCGCTGCTGGCAATAGACTATTCGCAGTAGAGATCTGAGTAAATTTTATTGACTAATGACAACAGCTCAAAAGCAGTTCATAACATTCCCGAGCTCTTCTCACTAAAACGAAATCTCACAGTTTGTGGAATTTCCACTCATCGTAACAGTCATCTTTCTTCTCCTTGACATTCATCATTCTTCTAGTAGTCCAAATGTGAGTATTAAGCTTTTTATAAAGCTTGTGCTTCCTCACCAAATGGAACGCCTGATTTCGTCTGATTAAGACAGTTAACGATGATAATGATTAGTGACAGAGCAAACTGATCATTTGAGTTGTCTTTAGTTCTTTCTACGCACATGATTCTTACTAATGTAACTACGTATATTGTTGGCCTATGGCTTTATATAGTTGCTAATAAATTTGAATAAAGAAAATAATAAATGGATCAATTCCATGTAATAATGACGTCTCTCTTTCACCAGTACTAGCAATGTCAGCGCTTGCTCGACCTAAGCGGGGAATCTTTTCAACATCGAAATCTCCCGAAAATGTTTCCATTTTTACCCTTCTAAATATAAATTTCACAGCACTTTTACCCAGCGTGCGTGACGTTATCGAAATAAAATTTACTTGAAAATACAAAAATTGTTTGCTGTAAAGCATCAGCGGCTACAAGAATTGTATTGCGTTTTGGAAAAAAAAATTCATAGTTTTGAAGACTACGGTTGTATAAAAATTTATTTCACGAATATTCTAGATCTGTTCATAAATACTAATACATATATGGCTTACATGTTCTTATCTCACCTACACATGAAAGCTTTTAATTTTTGCACCAAATAATCAGATTAGGTACGTATATAATATTGGGACGCAAATATGTGGGTGTGTTATGTTTTATTTTCTTCCGTATTAGTCTAGTTATTGTACCGCTTTACCTTCAATTTTCTTCTTTTGCTCTCGAATTGTTTATGAAATTTTTTTATTATATTGTAGTGGAAGCACAAATTACCTCGTTTCGATTGGCAAGAGAGATTGTAGTTAGTACTGTGAGGTATAATACTATGTTTAAAGTAAACTTAACTACGTCAACACTCGCATCAATAGTCTGGTGTCTTGTGCCAAAAAAAAATGAAACTCTACTTTCCCTAATTAATTCAAAGGGTGGCGGGGCTAAATCCCTTACGAGTTATGAACTGTGGATGCTCTACGATATTCACAGTCTGACTGCCTTATCATGATAGAGGCTATGCGATCGGGTAACTTTACCGATAAGACTGAATATCCTTGATGCAATCAACTGGGCGTGGTTTATTAAGGCTTGTTTCAAATAAATGAAATCACCAGTCAGGGACGCTATCATGGATACAATTGCGCCAAAACACAGGCGAAAAGTCAGTACATCATTAGTTCTTAGTATTTAACAAGACGCACTTAGACAATTTTTGCCGTTATAAGCCTTTCCTCTCCGTTACCAGTCGACGCTGTTCCCTCCGATTGACGCAGGCTTCAGTATGCGGCTTATTGTGCGTTCGACGAGTGCTTTGATTGTTATCACGAGATAGAGTTCAAAAAATGCATGAAAGACGGGGAAGAATCATAACTAACGTGAGGCAATATTTTGAACGAAATATGTCGATTGCTTTGAATAAAGTTCACATCTTCTTTGTACACACAATAATTTATTTTTGCACCTAAAGTAGAGATTGCAAGAGATTACCAAAATTTATATAACTTAGATGAAATTTTTGATTTAGAGCATATTTTCTTAATGTTGTCCCCCTTTGTTGTTTCTTTACAGAGCTTTGTATAATGTTGGAGCTTTAAGTACCAATATCGTTACGGAGGCCGAGTTAAATACAGCAACAAGTTTATCTGCTTTGCCGTCCACGGGGCTATTCTCAACTTTAAGTTTTAATTTACGTAAGTTATGTTCACGACCATCGCTACCCCTGGTAATTGGTGTATTGGCCTTGGGTGGCGTGGCTTGCACTCTCGTTGGTATTGTATTAGGCTCGACCGGCCTAATAGGACATTCGACGCAATACTTGAGTGCTGCCTTGCTACTAATAGGCATTGGGGTCTCATTGCTAGTGATATCGGGAGCTATATGGCGTTTAAGTTTACCGGACGATGTAAACGAATGCCGTTGTTATCGGCGCATGGAAATCTGTCGTAATTGTAACAGTCCATTTTGTGATAGTCGTGTAATGACAGGCGGTTACTTATATCCCGAATTTCAACATCGACCGCCGCCTCCTTCCTACCTTACGTCGGTTAATGAATGTGGCGGTTTGAGTTTTTTATTGCATTCGAACAATTTACGAATAAATACACCCCCACCAGTATACCAATCACAAATCTCTTTAAGGTAAGAAACTTTTTCGATCAGAGAAGAAACATCAATAAAATTTCTCTGCCTCTCTCTCTCTCTCTCTCTGATTTTTTTTTTCAGTACTACAACTCCAAGTAGCAATACAAGTTTATCTAATACTGTAAATGATACGAGCACAACTTCTACAAACGTTCTAACCTCAATAATCAATGAGACTAATCACAATAATGCTGTGAATAGCGCAACAGATCATTGTAACACCAACGTTCTTCAGACGATTAGGGAAAATCAAAATGTGTCTACACAAACGCATAAAAAAGAACTTAATTACTTGGAATTAGATTAAATGAAGAGAAAAAGAAACAAAAACATGACTGAAATTGACTGAATTTCAATTCGTTTTTAGTTTTTTTTTTTAATTTAAAAAAAAGAAAAAGAAAACCCATTTTGTTAAATTAATTCAATATTTGTTTTATAAGACAATGTTTTCGTTTGTTTTAGTCTAATTAAAATTAAATAAAAAAAAGTAACAAAAATAACTAAAAATAAATTTTTTTTTTTTTTTAATGAATGTATAAAAAGACTTACATGTGTATTATTAATATGTGAAAAACTCAACACCATATACATAAATGTTTGTATGTTTCGACTGTGTTTCCTATAACAACACTCCCATCTATAAACTTGAAAATATGAAACAATTTTAAAATTTTAATAATAATAATAATAAATTAAGCATAACATTTTATAAATTTTTAAATAAGTATATATGGATAAGAGGTAAAAATTGATATAAATATTCAGTGTGTACACATTGTTATGTAATTTTTGATAATAATTATAGTTTTCTAACTAACTTTTTATATGTGTTTACCTAATAACTACCACCGTCGTCCATCCTTCCAATCACTTGTAAATGTAATTGCGTTGGCAAGCTTTTTTTACATAACCCTTTTTCTTTTTTTTTTTTCTTGTTGATATACATAATTGAAATTATGTAAACAATAAATAACAAAAGCTTTTAAATTTAATTATAAATGTATAATAAAAAATGGAAAATATTTTGTGTACTTTATTATAAAAAGAAAATAAATATTTCAAGTTTTTCAATATATACCTGCGAGAGGGGGCTCCCGTTGCTTGCATGTGCCAGGAAATTTACATTCATGTTCAAGCGGAATTTTTCAATCATTTCTTATTTAAAATTTTTATATATAATATAACGTGGTAAGTGTTTTTCTAATTGTGGGCGATTTACTTACGCGGTCGTAAACGTAACCTTCCAAAATAGGAGTAAGAAATTTTAAATCATCCCAGGCTATGAATGATTGATGTGTCTAACAGCGTGTAAGTAATAGCTTGTTTTGCGCAAGCAATGGCTTGCAGTATGTAAGCAGTGCTTGTTTAACTGTTGAAAGCAAAGCTGTGCTTGGATCCCCAACATTTGCCAATTTAAGCCAAGCGCGTACACTACAAGTTTAAGTTTCTTATCTAAACTCTTGCAAGGCCTGTGAACTTCCAATAAAAGAAGGCCGGACGTACAAAAGGACGGACACTTGGTGAGATCAGTTTGAGTAAGTTCATTTGTCTTAAGCTGAACATAAATGTATATATACCACAGAGATCAGTAAGTCCCGGGAGTGGCATGATATGATTTCTGGCACACAATCCATCTTATTTTTAGAAAATTCGAACTCTCACGCGATCTCTGTTCAAATATCATTTTATTTCGATCATTTATTTCGATCATTTCTTTAGGCAAAGAATTGAAAAATGCGAATTTCGTTTGTTGATGATGATGCTGCGCAACTTTACGTTTGGGTAGGGGAACATCGACTCACATTTAGTCTGAGCTTAGAAATATTGTGGCAAGTCTTCTCATTCAAAACAACAATTTATAAGCGAGTTACTGGTTTTCACAAAGTCCCACGAACACTGATGACACAAAGCACAGGGAACACCCAAAAGAGGTTAGAAGTCGTGAACATCGTTCTCAATATTCTAAAGGTTAAATGTGGCAGGAAATAGCTTGTCAGCTTATTATAAAGATATCAAAATCAACGCTTTTTTTATTTTGCACGAAAATTTTCTTTTGAGAAAAATTGTTTTCCAAACCGATATCGCTTTCACTTTCAATGAAAGAGCATCGCCGTAATTCAAACCTTTTTGAAACTGTTTAACCGGAATCAAAATAGTGCTTGCACCCGATGCGGCTATAGGTGCCCCACTTCAATTCTTAATCGAATCAACAGTGAGTGTAATGGACCTAGCAAAAGCCGTGTAAAGTTTTTTTTTTTGTTATTATAACCTACTACCCAAAGGAGGACGTCCCCAGCGCTTTTAATGTGCTGACGGTCACAAAGAAGCGAGGAAGGAGAAAAGAGGAAAGCGGAGAGTGAGGAAGTGATCGAAACATAGTGAATGGATGCCCAAACAGTAAGTATTATGCCTTCACAGACCGAGCCACTCACTCTAACCGTGTAACGTGGTGACGGCGAGAAAGAAGTGTAATGAAGTAGTAAGTGTGAATGGAAGGCAAGAATGTGGCTGCAGCGTAGTAACAGCACGTAAATATTCTGGCTTTCAAGACCAGGCTATTCAAGATCTTCCGCATTAAAATTTTGCCCCGCCAACACTAGCGGTATTCGTGTTTTCAGTTACGCATGGTATTCTAATCACCTGACCTTGAACAACAAAAAGGATAGATAGATGACCAATATTATGTGGCATCTTTGGCTCGATTGAAAGAAGCAATCGGAAAGAACGTTCCGAAATGGCGAAGTAAACAATACTCTGTGTCACAGTGCAATGACAAAGTTGTGCGAACCGAAGTTCATATTGTTGAGCGGTCCATCGAATTCTATAGATCTAATCCAACGACTTTTATCCATTTGCACATCTCGAAAGGAAATCATTATGAAACTGAACGATGGCGTCCATTATTATAGCACACATGCGTTGCAAACTAATACATAAATGATAATACATTCTCGAATGATCAAAGCATCTAATCGTGGATGTCAGGAAGTCTACTTCCTACCTAAACTTGTTGTTCATAAAATGCGCACAAGACGCTATTTGACTTATACGTTAAATTAATTCGTTCTTATATAGAAAAATAAAAACAAAATTTTAATAATAAAAACATTTATTTTAATAGTAATAATAATAATAATAACTTTTATACATAAATACATAATATTTACAAAGTATTTTAACAAGTTAAAAAAATTTTTTAATTTTTTTTTTTTTTTTTTTAAATTGTTTTAATAATATCACCCATATTAAGTTAACCTAAATTTTAAAGCGAAACATTAGTTCTATTAAGTAAAAGTTATAATTTTTTAAATTTTATAATAACATGAAAGCTACTTAGCATATCTAAGCGTAACAGTAAACGTTTCAATAGATAAACTATGAAATATAATGTGACAAGGTAAAGAGCCACCACATCGATGAGATAGTATTGCAGCCAACTGTTGGAAAAATGTATAAATAAATTTCCAAAAAATCGCAAACACCAACATTTACAAACCTCATATTGCGTGCGGGAGATTGCAGATGATAGGCACCTTTATGTCGTAACACATATTCCGTCCAATAGATAGATGTTTCCAAAGGACTGATACGTTGATCTAATAATAAACTTTGACGAAATCTGAAATCCGTAAAGTGAATTTTGTAAATATTTTCAATTTTTATAAAATTAATTCGAACCATCGCACCTGGCAGCCTTTCTATATTGAGGATCGTGGATAACTTTCATAATGGTTTTGTACAATTGTTGCGATGTAACTGTGGCCAAATCTAATTTAATGGCATAGCCATCTAGCTGAGCTTTAGCCGAATTAACATCGTGATCACAGAAGACCGGCATTGTTACTACGGGTACACCGTGAAACACCGTCTCGTACATACTTAATAAGCCACCATGAGTTACGAAAGCTCTTAACTTACGATGCCCTAAAATATCTTGTTGCGGTAGCCAGCGACTTAGCTTCACATTCGAGCTAAGCTCTAACAGCTCACTGGGTTTGCCTTCATATTTCCATAGCACGTGATAGGGTAAGCGCGCAAATGTTTGCACCAATAAGCGTCTTAGCGTGTAAGGCATTTTAGATGCTTTTACCGAAGAACCCATTGACACATAAATAAAACCCAATTCGCCAGCTGATGTTATAAAATCTTCCAAATCTTTGGGTAACGGCTTAGCTGACTTACAATGTATACAAGCTATCTCAGCGATATTGGGATTGAAAGCACGCGGATAAGATACTACTGCATGACCGTTTTGTAAGATAAAACTTACATTTTTTGAAACGTCAAGAGGATGCGGTATATGAGCTCCTAAATGCTGTTGCAAAACACGATGCACCATAGTCATGACAAACTGAAAAACAGAATTCTGGTAAAAAAATCTGCATTTTAAGAAATATTTAAAAGTCAAGGGTTTTCCTGCATCTGGATTGGGATGTAAGGTCGCTTTCACCTGGAATACTTATCAGATTTTTAATTTGTTTCTTCTCGTCTCAAATTTTTTCACGAATAATTTCAACATTTTTACTATTGCAGGCAACCGTACTATATCTGTGAGATATATTCAAAAAGTAAGCTGAATTTTATCTTCTTATGTCAGTTATTTCGAATTTGACATTAAGTCCTAGACTAGGTAGGAGAGAAAAAATAGCAAAAACAAAACTGAGCCGAGTAAATCCGATTACCTGCCACACAAACGGTTTGGCATGTGCATCGAAGAAAAAGACAGATGGACGGGGAAACTGCCAAATGACTGAGACGTAAGGAAAAGATTTGTGCAAGCAGGCCTAGGGCCCTACACACAGATGACATACAAAAAAATGAAAGAAGGACAAACGCAAAAAGATGACTGCCAAGATGACTGGTTTACCCGACAAACAGAACAATCTACGAAAGGAAGAACGGACATTCGTTTGTATGGATGTAATTAACAGAACTCAATATCTCATATAGATCAGGCGTTTATATAGGGACCCATACGAACGAAGAGAAATATATATAAACAAGCATCAAAAGAGGAGGATACATGCGGCCGACGCAAAAAAAAAGGCGATGCAACTGCCCTTGCGATGACATTTAATGAAATTATTCTGTATATGAGATTAATTTTTATCTGCCTGCAGACGGAAACAAACGCAACATCAGTTTTCGTTTTATTATATAAAAACTTTACAAGATTGGCTGAGTTCAAATGCCCATAGTCATGACAGCTGCATTGTTTCAACATTGTTTCAACTTTCATCACGGCGAAGAAATATGAAAAACAAACCCACACACATTGCCATAAATAGACACGTTGTTCAAGTGTCATTAACATATGCATCCGAATGAATCTTCAACGTGGTACACTCCATTGATCCAGATATAAGCAAAGATAAGCATTAGAAAATTATCGAGGATATAATTCAGGTATATACACGAAAATACGAAGCCGGTAATATATATATATATACATTTACCTACAGCGACACTGGAGACCTCATCACAGAACATGCATACGTTTCGCTCGGCACTTTCTACTGGTTTTTATAGGAAAAGCATTCTTTTGAAATATTTCTCTTGTTTCTTTTCTCTAACTATGTCTTGATTACAAGAAAAAACAATTTACTTAATAAACGTAATCAGAGACAAGGCGTAACTGTTTAGGATTGGCGAAAACAGCATTGATCCGAACATGATACTGACTAGACTGTTCTACGGAACAAATTTTCTTTGATTTCCTCTTGGCCTGAAATTAATGCTTTCTATATGGACGGGGTTTGCTTTCATCACATACTTTTTGAGATAAAGGAACTATCGCATGGAAAAAAATAAGAGGCATTGGAAGACCCTTTACACTTTCAATCGTCTTCAATACGTTTTTACTCACCTTATGCATTAAAGTGGCGAATATTTGTACGCCAGTGTTTAAAGCCCGTTCGAACAAGTTCATATTATCGGTAAAACTTGTATAGAAATTGGGTGTGATGGCGTAGGAGCCAGGATTTCCTGATTTCGCTATACTTCCCGTATAAAAGCCGACGGTATTTATGTACATAAATGGAATTTTATATTGATGCACTAAGCCGAGAGAACATTCGGGAAAAGCGCCATCCAGTATTGCCAAATCAAAATTCCGATTTAATAAAGTCTGAGTTTCCGCATCATCTAACATCGCATCACAGGACTGAAAAAAAGGAAAAAGAAAAGCAAATCGATTTCTCTTTTCTTTTTTTTTTTCGTCTTTCTAAGTTCTTTCATCAATTTTGTCAATTTATCATTGATTTAAGCTTTTATTCTACTACGTGTCTTTCATAATGACGTTTTATCTTTAATGATTAATTGTTGCACATGTTTTGAATTTTTAAGCAATGCTATTAACAAAAGGTCTTTATCCATTTTAATAGAAAGATTTAAAAAAGACTGAAAACTTTTAAAACGCAATTTCACAACGTTACCTACACTTTCAAATTCTCTTTGAATTATCTCGAAATTTAAAATTTAAATCTAGACAAAGATCATTTATCTTTGAAAATGAATTGTAATCAATAAAACTGAGATGAATTGCGTGCAATCAGTTCACGTGCAACTGAAATGTTCTGTTCAATATTTCTGTGGCCTAAAAAACTTATCTACCTTCCTCAAGGAACTTCTTAATTCCTCTACTAATATGCTCAAGTCATTGTTATCTTTTACCAAAATACTTTAGAGTTATTGCGTGAAGACAAAATCTTTGTAAATTTTCTTGGAGTAAAGAGTTTCTCGCACTTTACTTACCTGAAAGGCATACCGTAGACCATCCCAGAAACTAATAGGCATTCGGCCAGACATTCTTGCCCCTAATAGATCCCAGTTTGTATAGTTTTGTATGTATTCGACCAGGCCAGCTGGTGTAACTTCGTGTAAGCCATTCATATGAAAATCTGAAGGAAAGCCGCTTAAAAATGTGATATTGTGGCCCCTAAGTGAAATTGTTGGGAACAACATATCTTTTTTTATATTTTATGTATAAAGTTATTATATATATATACGTAACGTTACAAATATTGGCAGTAGGAGACTTAAAATCCTTTCTTAAAATTATTTAATCTATCTAAGCTATCTTCGAGTTTGTTCGACTTTTAAATGTCTTACATCGCTTGGCTGCATATAATTCCTTACCTCTTTCCCTGATAAAACAACAAAAATTACACTTAGTCTTTGCCTTCAAAAGACTTGGTTTTCATGAGAATCCAAGAGCGTTAAAAAAAGTTGACCTACATGGATTAAATTTACGAGATATGTTCAGATAAAAAGGTGATATGTATTTATTTATTCATCAATGTCTTCCCCTCGTCCCCGTCAATTTAATCCCCCTTACCCAGCATTTTTTCCAATCCTCAACTATCTTTCAACATGCGCTTTTAACGTTATAGTCTTCATCTCCTTAAATGTGGGAAGACACGGTCCTTTCATGAGCCTTTTCAGTTTTGGGAACAGGAAAAAGTCGCAAGAGGCCAAATCCGGTGAATATGGCGGCTGAAGCATAATTACGACATTGGTTTTAGCCAGAAGATTACGAGCAAAGAGTGACTTGTAAACGGGCGTCTTATCGTGATGTAGCATTCACGAGTATCCGATTCTTTGATCCAATTTTTCAGTAGTAAAAAACCGCCAAGCACACAAAACACGTGCAAACACAGACCAAGAATGTAGAATTTAGATAGTCCACGAAATTTGAAAAGTCGCCTTTCTTCTAAACACACCTCGTATATATAAAGCCTAACCTTTTGTCAAATGCCTTGAATATTTCAAACTACCGACTTTTCTCCCGATATGTTAAAAACGGGAAAATTTCGATACCCTACATCCAACAAAAGTTAAGTGAGTCGTACCTTCTATTATACCGAAAGTGATTCTGTATGGATCTAAGCTTGTCTGTCCGTCTGTCGGCTTTGTATTCTTTTGTTCAAACTACAGCTGGCACTTTTTGGTATAGACCGAGCTATTGAAAACGGTTTGGATCGAACTGATTTTGCTAAACTGAAGCGCTGTCGGGTCGTGTTTCACTACAGCGTTTTTATGCGGTTTAAATGAAAACTTTTCATGCGTTACACTGGAAATGCTTCAGTGCAATCCTTTCCCAGTTTCATTCATTCCTCAATCACATATACAGAAGTGTGCCAAACTTCATTAGAGTATCTCTCAATTTATGATCTGTTGGAAACAAAATATATTGACGAACAGACGGACAAACCAACTGTAATTGGTTTAGGGACTAAATCTTAAATGATTGACATAATATAAGTTTGGGCAAGTCCAAGTTATTTTATGCGTTGCATATATCGAGACAAACTTAGTACACCCTTATAGCAAGTGAAGCATAAATAGTTTTCGTAACATGTGATAAATTGGTCAAGCCTCATTATCTTACTTTACAAAATGTTGTGTGTGAAAATTTAAAAACAATTTACAATAGAAAAAAACTTATTAAACGTTACCTGCTTATTAAGCCCTTAGCCAACTCCCAAAATGGTATTTTATGCGATTTAGTTCCACCCATAGTAACCATAAAGATATCAGCTGGGAAAGCTTTACTTATACAAGACAGCCATACTATGAAAATCACCGAGGGCTTCATGATGACGAGCTCGCTCTCCCTCTCCCCTCTTTTTATCACTCTTTCTCTCTCTCTCTCTGTCGCTATATTTCTGCAAACATAAAAAATTTTATTTTATAGAAATTCAAAAAATTGTTTAGTTTCTTAACGTAAAATGCTGTTCAGCAGTCTACCATACGTCGCGTACATGACATTTATTAACTTGACCAGTGACTGGTAATGACCGATCATAATACTCAACATATTTAGCCAAGTAACTAAGCAAGCAATTGCAACAAGAATTTTAGGCATTAAATAAAAAAAGAAACTGATTATATTAAATGGAAAACATATAGCACGTATGATATGTAGAAAAAAAAAAAAAAGTATTTTTCTTGGCAAAACAACAATCTAGTTGCAGCCAGTTCAAGGTAGTTTAAAATTGCGCATATGCACTCTGTACATGTATTACCATATCATTCTTGCTATTATATATGCGTACCACAAGCGAAGCTTAAACATATGTAAAAGATGAGAAAAATAATTACTTA